CTCCAAATAGAACATGGTAGCTGCATCTAGGAGATGACATAGAGATTTGTAAAGCACACACGGATCTGAAAGGTTCAGACCCGTTGACCATAACCTCTCTCACAAGCATAACATGATCAAACCCAGAACTCATCGAGTGTTAATCACATGGTAAATGTGAACTAGATTATTGACTCTAGTAAACTCTTTGGGTGTTAGTCACATGGGGATGTGACCTTGAGTGTTAATCACATATCGATGTGAACTAGATTATTGACTCTAGTGCAAGTGGGAGACTGTTGGAAATATGCCCTAGAGGCAATAATAAAAGTATTATTATTATATTTCCTTGTTCATGATAATTGTCTTTTATTCATTCTATAACTGTATTATCCGGAAATCGTAATACACGTGTGAATACATAGACCACAATATGTCCCTAGTGAGCCTCTAGTTGACTAGCTCGTTGTGATCAACAGATAGTCATGGTTTCCTGGCTATGGACATTGGATGTCGTTGATAACGGGATCACATCATTAGGAGAATGATGTGATGGACAAGACCCAATCCTAAGCCTAGCACAAGATCATGTAGTTCGTATGCTAAAGCTTTTCTAATGTCAAGTATCATTTCCTTAGACCATGAGATTGTGCAACTCCCGGATACCGTAGGAGTGCTTTGGGTGTGCCAAACGTCACAACATAACTGGGTGGCTATAAAGGTACACTACGGGTATCTCTGAAAGTGTCTGTTGGGTTGGCACGAATCGAGATTGGGATTTTGTCACTCCGTGTAAACGGAGAGGTATCTCTGGGCCCACTCGGTAGGACATCATCATAATGTGCACAATGTGACCAAGGGGTTGATCACGGGATGATGTGTTACGGAACGAGTAAAGAGACTTGCCGGTAACGAGATTGAACAAGGTATCGGTATACCGACGATCGAATCTCGGGCAAGTACCATACCGCTAGACAAAGGGAATTGTATACGGGATTGATTGAGTCCTTGACATCGTGGTTCATCCGATGAGATCATCGTGGAACATGTGGGAGCCAACATGGGTATCCAGATCCCGCTGTTGGTTATTGACCGGAGAACATCTCGGTCATGACTACATGTCTCCCGAACCCGTAGGGTCTACACACTTAAGGTTCGATGACGCTAGGGTTATAAAGGAAGCTTGTATGTAGTTACCGAATGTTGTTCGGAGTCCCGGATGAGATCCTGGACGTCACGAGGAGTTCCGGAATGGTCCGGAGGTAAAGATTTATATATAGGAAGTCCTGTTTCGGCCATCGGAACAAGTTTCGGGGTCATCGGTATTGTACCGGGACCACCGGAAGGGTCCCGGGGGCCCACCGGGTGGGGCCACCTGCCCCGGGGGGCCACATGGGCTGTAGGGGGTGCGCCTTGGCCTACATGGGCCAAGGGCACCAGCCCCAAGAGGCCCATGTGCCTAGGGAACCCTAGAGGGAAGAGTCCTCAAGGGGGAAGGCACCTCCGAGGTGCCTTGGGGAGGATGGACTCCTCCCCCCCTCTTAGCCGCACCCCTTTCTTGGAGGAAGGGGCAAGGCTGCGCCTCCCCCCTCTCCCCTGCCCCTATATATACTGGAGGGGAGGGAGGGCATCTATACCTGAGCCCCTGGCGCCTCCCTCCCTCCCTCCCGTGACACCTCCTCCTCTCCCGTAGGTGCTTGGCGAAGCCCTGCAGGATTGCCACGCTCCTCCATCACCACCACGCCGTTGTGCTGCTGCTGGATGGAGTCTTCCTCAACCTCTCCCTCTCTCCTTGCTGGATCAAGGCGTGGGAGACATCGTCGAGCTGTACGTGTGTTGAATGCGGAGGTGCCGTCCGTTCGGCACTAGGATCATCGGTGATCTGAATCACGACGAGTACGACTCCATCAACCCCGTTCACTTGAACGCTTTCGCTTAGCGATCTACAAGGGTATGTAGATACACTCTCCTTCTACTCGTAGCTGGTTTCTCCATAGATAGATCTTGGTGACGCGTAGGAAAATTTTTGAATTTCTGCTACGTTCCCCAACAGTTATCACACCTGAGGCTGCCTGGATGTCAAAGCAGGGCTACAAGTGGACCAGTTCAGAGGATGACATCGAGGAGACTATCCCCGCCACTGAGTCTGACGAGGAGCACGAGGAGCAGTGGGACGACTTCTCTGCCTGAGCCACCCCGTGTGTGTAGGTGTCCTCTCTGCCTTTTTGGCGTCTCGATGACAAAGGGGAAGATAGTGTGGGGATTTGCGTTGTGTCGTGCTTGGTGTGTTTGTTTGCTTTGTCGTTTGGACCTCGTTTGCCTCATTTGCTTTTGTTCGGTTTGTGCCTTCGAGACCTTTCCTCCATATGGTGTAAGACATATGCACTCTATCTATCTTAGTTATCTTATGTTTGTACTATCTTGTCTAGTGATAAATTTGCCTTCTCTCTATAATATAGGGGGAGCTCTGTTCCTAGTATTCGTGCTCATCTAGGTGGCACACATTTAGGGGGAGCCCGTCTATATTATAGAGAGGAGGGGTTTGCTTTTACTTAATAGTATTTTTCCTTGTGCAAATCCTGTTTTGTCATCAATCCACCAAAAAGGGGAAGATTGTAAGGACATATTTATCCCTAAGTGTTTTGGTGATTGATGACAATGCATTTGCGGACTAATCGTGTGCCATGAGTTTTCCAGACACTTCTTTGCTAGGCACAAGACGATTGGGTGCCCCTCGAAGACTGACGAAGACGGCGTCTTTTCTACGTTTCTTTTTGGTGGATTTGAGTCATAGGAAAGCCATACTATTAAGAGGGGGTCCGCGTTGGAAAGGTTTGGGTGGAATCATCACGTACACGTCTCCTTTTATCCCTCTTTCTTCCTTAGAGCTTCCTCCGTTTTTCCTGCCTCCTTTGACTGGCTGCTATTGTGGTTGCGGCAGTACCGCTCCTGGATCAACGGTAGTACCGTAGGCATCCACGGTAGTACCGCGCGGTGGCGCGGTAGTACCGCTGGTGCTCACGGTAGTACCGCTCCCCTGGAGCTGCACTACCGCTGCCCACCAGGCTAGTGCGGCCCCTTTGCGGTAGTAGGAGCGGATGTAATTTTTTACATCCGCACCTGCCGCGGTAGTACCGCTTTCGCCGTGCGGTAGTACTGCGCTATGCGGTCAGGCAGTAGTACCGCCCCTCGGCAGTAGTACTGTGTCGGGTTTTTGCTACTTCTGTTTATTTGCGGAAGTAGGCACGGTAGTTTCCCTTCCCCCTGACTGGGACTTTTGCGTTGCGGTAGTACCGCATGGGGGGCGCGGTAGTACCGCGCGTGCGGAAGTACCGCCCCCAGCTTGCGTCTGTTTCTGTGCTAGGGTCGCGGCAGTACCGTGGGACGGTACGGTTGTACCGCACGGTTGGATCTTTTCCACACTATATAAAGGGTCTCCTTCTTCCCCGTTGACTCACCTCTTCCATCATTAAAACTCCATTATTGCTCCAAGCTCCATTTTCGCCCGATCTCACTCCCTAGCCAACCAAACTTGTTGATTTGCTCGGGAGTGGTTGAGAAGACCCCGATCTACACTTCCATCAAGAGATATTTGATTCCCCCTACTAATCCCTTGCGGATCTTGTTACTCTTGGGTGTTTGAGCATCCTAGACGGTTGATGTCACCGCGAAGCCACAGTCCATTGTGGTGAAGCTTCGTGGTGTCGTTGGGAGCCTCCAATTGAGTTGTGGAGATTGCCCCAACCTCGTTTGTAAAGGTTCGGTCGCCGCCTCCAAGGGCACCAATAGTGGAATCACGACATCTCCCATTGTGTGAGGGCGTGAGGAGATTACGGTGGCCCTAGTGGCTTCTTGGAGAGCATTGTGCCTCCACAGCGCTCCAACGGAGACGTACTTCCTCTCAAAGGGAAGGAACTTCGGCAACACATCCTCGTCTCCACCGTCTCCATTCTTAGTTATCTCGTGCCTTTACTTGTGTAGATTATTTGTTTCATATATCTTGCTTGCTTGTGTTTCTATTCGTGTTGCATCATATAGGTTGCTCATCTAGTTGCATATCTAGACAACCTACTTTGATGCAAAGTTTAAATTGCTAAAGAAAAGCTAAAAATTGTTAGTTGCCTATTCACCCCCCTCTAGTCAACCATATCGATCCTTTCAGCATTGATTCCCGCGGGAAACGAGGCGATGTGGACGACGAAGCGGCGCGTCGCTGACAGGGCGGGTCCATCACAGTTCGCGCCAAAAACGGTCCGTCCGGCGCCCCCAGGCGATCCCCAGCACGCCGGGTTCGAGTTGGATACGCCGGCGTCAATTTCTGCCCAATCCGGCGGAAAACGGATTCCTGAAGGCGCGACTGGGCTATTTTTTCGGCACCGGTGCCGAAAAAGTGTCCTGGGGTGCCTGTTGGGGACGCGGCTGGAAATGTTCTATTGTGAGGCGAGGAATGAGGAGTGACTAGGCGCTGTCCGCGGACGCATCCCAGACATTGTGGGGCAAACTTTGTAAAGTCTGATTGTAGATGCTCTACGATATGTTTTTATTTTCTTCGAAGCAGAGAAGAGAGAACCCACCGGAGCTCGACACCCATGCACGGACGTCACTTCCTCTTTGCGTTGCCTCGCAATTTCGCGGTGACGAGGATCCTAAACCGTGGTCCCGCGTGTCTGGCCTGGATACGGCCGGTCGAGGGGCAGACCCGTAGATATCCTCGAAGAAGGCGCCCCAGAGACGAGCCGAACCGCTTTCCACGCCCGACTTCACTCCTTCCAGCCAGCCAGCCACCTTTCTTCTCCTTTGGTTTTTTTCTATCCGATTGATCGATCGACCGCCGAAAAGAGCTTTTTCTCTCTATAGCGTTCCGCCTCACCGCGGCATCTCCCCTCTAAAAGGAAGCACCGGACGCCGACGCCACGTACCGGAGCACCCACCAGACTCCTCCTCCGCAGCTCTGCTCAGCTCACCTCAGCTCCCTCCCCCTCTCCGCAGCGGCAGCGCAGCGAGCGAGCGAGCGACCGGCGATGAAGAAGTGCGCGTCGGAGCTGGAGCTGGAGGCCTTCATCCGCGGGCGGGGGCTCGGCGCCGAGCAGAAGCCCGGCACCGCCGCCGTGGGCACCGCCAACGGGCCCTACGGCCTCTTCTCCGCCGCCGACCTCTCCGGCGCCTTCGGCTTCGCCGACGCGGTGAGTCCGTCGCCCTCGATCGATCTCCTCCTGTTAACGTAGCGCAGCAGAGGAGCTGATGAAACTGTGGCGCGTACTGCATAGCACGGAATTTTTGGATGCTTATGGCATGGCATGTTCTGAATTTCTGATGATCATACGCGACATATGCATATATTTTTTCCCCTTGATGGCATGAGATGGTGCTTGCATCATTCCTGCCGACTAGAATTAATTGAACCACCTGCGGCTTGTGGGTGAGATGCGGGCCATGCGATGCGACCTAGCCTTTCCTCTTGGCAACATGCACGCTTAACATCCTTGAGAAAGAAATCATATTTATTTAAAAATATAACTATATTTTGGAGGTGGACGAAAGATTCCCATATGCCAAAGTTAGGAGTGTGTGTGTGTGTTCAGTCTTTCTTTTCTTTCATTCGAATTTCGGTCATCAACTGAAATCAGTGGCTTTTATGGTGATTTTGGCTTTTTCAATTCGGCCAACACCAAAAGTTGTGTTCGAATTTGACTGAAATTCAACCAAAAAATTATCAAATTTTGTCAAACATCTGAATTCTATGTAGTACTAGAAGATGCAAACGAATAATACACCTTTGCTATGCATGATATGTTCTGATGTAGAGCTCCACTTGGGCGATTGTTTTCACTGTACTGAATTTCTTTCGTTTTTTCCCAACTAAGCAGACCCTGAATGGAACAATTCAGACTCACTTGTGGTCTCAGTCCCCGAACCTCGGCGCACGGCATCCCGCGGTCTCCACGACAATCGAGTCGCAGTCGTCAATCTATGGTAAATGCATCCAACATAGTTCCTCTTCCACAGTTTTCAGTGAGTTCATATGATTGTGTTTAGAAGAAGAATGGTTCATTGCTGTGTGCCATGGTTTTCAGTACTAAACTGCACACTGAATCACATGATATTCAGATGTTTGGGCAGACATAGTAGGTGCTGTTGCGTCTAAACCGGGCTTGGTTACAACACATGACTAGACGACTGGTGTGTCTTGCTCATGCTCTGTTGAATTCTCTATCTATGCAGCAGCGGCGAGTCCCACGTCGGCGACCAATCTGAGCATCAAAGAGAGCCAAGCTTTCGGAGGCACGAGCGGCTCGGACTCCGACAGCGAGTCGATGTTCGACGACGGTGGCTTGTGCGACAACGGCACGAACCCAACAGACGTGAAAAGGATGAGACGGTACATCAACAACCATGAACCATTATGCCTTTTTTTTCCCCTTGTGTTCTTCATTCACTGCTCAAATCATAAACCCTTGTTTGCCAATTACTACAGGATGGTGTCGAACCGAGAGTCGGCCCGACGGTCGAGGAAGAGGAAGCAAGCTCACTTGGTTGAGCTGGAGACGCAGGTAAGATAGGCTACGGCGTGCGTACTGACTAGGAGTAATTTTCAAGGTTCAGTTGAGTTCATTATGGCTTGTGGGTGACTGGACTGCAGGTTGATCAGCTCCGGGGTGACAACGCGTCGATCTTCAAGCAGCTGACGGACGCGAACCAGCAGTTCACGACGGCGGTCACGGACAACCGGATCCTCAAGTCGGACGTGGAGGCGCTGCGGGTGAAGGTGAAGCTGGCGGAGGACATGGTGGCGCGCGGCGCGATGTCGTGCGGGCTGGGCCACCTGGGTCTGTCCCCGGCGGCGCTGAACCCGTGCCGCGTCCCGGACGTGCTGGCCGGGCTGGACTTCCTCCCCGGCGGCCCCGACGACGCCTGCTTCGGGAGCCTGTCCCCGGCCGAGCAGGTGCAGAGCTCGCCGATGCAGAGCATGGCCAGCCTGGAGAGCCTCGAGCACAGCAGCAGGATGCAGCACGGCGGCGGCAGCGACGCCGTCGACGTCTGGGGCTGGGACTCCAGCTCCAACGGCGCCATGTCCAAGTGAAGCCATGCACGTCCCTCCCTGCCCGCGTACCTACCTACGTACATCAAAGTGTTTGAGCTGATGAAAACTCTTGATGGACTTGAGTTTTTCAGAGTCCTCTCGTGTCGCGTCAGTCGGTAATAACTCTACGTCTTCGCCGTGCCTATAGCTATGTAATGGAACTTTCTACCCAGAGTACATGTAATGGTGAGACCATGTCAGTTAACTGTGATCTGTCAGTCGGCGGTAAGCTTCATCATTTACAGATTACACACGGTGCACTTCCCTTCCCGCCATTTCATTTACAGGTTACGGTGGGTTGTTTTGGATGGACGGCTCGTCGTCCCTTCCCGCCATTTCTGCCTCGCGTTCTCTGTCATCCATCTCGGCCACCAGCTCGCGGTACGCCGCGGAGGCCAGGCCGCCGGCCTCGGCGATGGCGCCCAGCGCCGCCGCCAGCCCGACGCAGACCCTCCGCTTCCCTTCCTCCTCGTTCGGCGGCTCCTCCTCGGCGCTGCTGTTGCGGCGCCGCGCGGCCGTCGCGATAGCCGCCGCCTCGGCCGCGACGCCCTCTACGGCCCGGATCGCCGCGTCCACGTCCACGGCCTCGACCGCGCGGGCCCAGGCCACGATCTGCCGCGGCATGTCCTCGCCGTCCTTGACGCAGCTCCGCGCCCAGCCCCAGAGCGCCGCCGCGTACCCGCGCTGCGACTCGGCCCAGGCCTCCAGCGCCGCGCGCCAGCCGCGGAGCTCCGTCGCCAGCGCGCCCGCCGCCGTGGCCGCGCGCGTCGGCCCCGGCGGCGGCGGCGGGCCCCTGATGCCTCCCTCCGCCCCGGCGGCCGAGGAGGAGAGGAGCGCGCTCGCCTCGTCCGCCGTGCGCTTCATCACCCGGTGCGCGTCGCCGATCACGCGCCACATCCTTGCCAGCCTGAACAGCACAGCGACGCCGACGAGAAACATCGATCAAACACTTGCGGCGTCACCATTGTCCGGGGAACCGATCGAGCACGCCATAATAAACACACGTACCCTCGGATGAGCTCGGCGAGCTGCGGCAGCAGCTCGTCGTCGCGGACGGCGACGATCCGCCGGGACACGGCGTCGACGGAGGCGAGGGAGATGTTGAGCTTGGTCCGGAGGTCCCTGATGGCGGCCCTGGTCCTCTCGATCGCGAACGGCTCCGCGCCGTTGGCGTCCTGGCTCCTCAGCTGCGCCACCTTCTTCTCGTACGACAGCCGGACGCGCTCCCCTGCCTGGAAATACATTTCATATCACAACTTCATCCTAACTGGTTCTGAACTTATGATCATTCTACGAGAGTTGGAGTTGAATTCGAAGAGAAGCGCGTGTGATCGGTCGAACGTACCCTGACTTCCTCGTAGAGCTTCTTCTCCCACGCGTAGAGCCTGTCGAGGCTCTCCTTGTGGCTCTGGAAGAGTTGGAATGGCTCCGGCGAAGGTTCACGGGCGCCGACTTGCTCGCCGCCGTCGTCCCCCTCGACGTCCCCTCTCGGAGCAGGTGGTCGAACTGTCTATGTACAAGACGGCAATGATCAATGCTACAGCTCTATGGCATGTTCTGAATAATTCACTCTGTTCTAGTCTGAAGAATAGAAAAGCAATTGACATGACAGGGTATAATTCAGAAGTTCAGGCTTGAGGTAGGGGAAGAGGTTTTGCATGACTGATGACTGTACCTTTCTTCTGGTAGGGGACGACCTCCAGCAGCACCGAGACCTCGCCGGCGGTTTCGGCGACCTTCGAGAAATGGCCCTTGATGTCCCTCATGGCCTCCGCCACGCTCGCCGGCGGCCTGTCGACAAACACCGTGAATCGGCCGGGGGTGCTCTGCTGCTCGACCTCGGCGCTCGCCCGCACCCTCAGCTTGTTGCTCACACCCGCCACCTTTTTCTTTTCTTTTCGCTCCCTTGGCTCCACTACCACCTGCGCTGCCTCTGCCTGCTCATGACCAGGCGCCTCCTCCTCCTCTGATTCGCCTTCTCCATTGCTGCCATCCTCGCTTATTTCTTCCAGCTCCGGCATCTCACCATCTTCTTGATCAGCATTCGCCTCTTGGACGCCGTGATTCACATAGCCCACGCGATCGGTCGGCAGCGAAGAGAAGGGGTCGACCCAGAACACGTCCCACGCCGACGGCAGGTGCGACGGCGAGGAAACCGGCACGTCGTTCGCCGGAGGGCGGAAGAGCCGGGGATCCACGCCGAAGAACCCGTCAACCACGGCGGCCTCGGCAGCTCCAGCCTCGCCGTCCCACCGCCCTACCAGCGGGTGCACGGGCGCCCCTCCTTGCCTCAGGCGGTTGACGACGAGGAGGACGGCCCTCTTCTCCGGCGAGCACGGGCGGTGGGTGCACTGCGCGGACGTGTCCTGCAGGAAGTAGAGGTGCTCGTCCTCGGCGAGGCAGTAGAAGAGCGCGAGCGAGACGCGGCGGAGCGACTGGAGGTAGGCGACGTGGGAGGAGGCCAGGAGGTCCCGCTGCGCGATCGCCTTCTTGACGAAGCTCCGGCGGTCGTGGCACGCCTTCACGGCCTCCTCCTCGTCGAGCTTCTTCGACGAGGAGCAGCCCATCGGTCCCGGCAGGCCAGATTGCTTGCTGCTGCCGTTGGGTCGGTCGGTACGAGGACGAGAGGCGGACGTGATTACTGTCTCGTTCTGTTTACGTGTTCTTGTAGTAGGGATCAGTACGTCTTGAGATGCTTTGGTTGCGTTGGGTCTGTGCAAGAAACGAAGAATTCCCTGGGGAGGTGAACTGAAGCTGAGGGAAACATGGAAGAGCTCAGGCTTGCAAAGAATCTCTCGCTGACAAGAAATGGTCGTAACGCTTCACACGCTGTGCTTCTTTATTGATAGATAGACTGGCGAAAGTTGCATCTTAGCATTGCTTCTTGGCTCAGACCGATGAAAGGAAGAATCTCCAATGGAGATACAATAATGTTCCATGTCTAGAATCTTATCGAAACTTTGCACACAAAGAAAAATCCAACCACTTCTTAAAGCTCGATATATCTAAGGCCTTCGACTCAGTTGATTGGGCGTACCTGTTTGAGGTGTTGCAAGCTCTGGGTTTTGGCCAGAATATGCACGACTGGATTTCTTTGTTCCTGTCATCCTTGACCTTTAGCGTTTTGCTTAACGAGATTCCGCCCCCATCCCACCATGCTTGAGAGCTTCGTCATGTCGACCCGCTTTCACCCATGCTTTTCATCCTCACCATTGACCCACTGCTGCAACAGATACACAACATGGCTACAGAAATGGGGGTTCTTAAGCTTGTTTAGCCTCGTAATGCTAGACTAAGAACTCCTCTGTACGTAGATGATGCTGGAATGTTTGCCACCCAAACAAGGAGAAGTTATCAGCCATCCGCCACATCCTTGATGTTTTCGCCGATGCCATTAGTCTAAGAACGACCATCAGCAAGATTGAAGTATTTCCTATTCGTTGCGAGCACATTGACCTAGCTGACACCCTCTCGATCTTCCCAGCTAAGATGTCCGCTTTCCCCGGCAAATACCTCGATCCCCCCTGCACATTCAGCGCCCCCGGAAGGTGGAATTGCAACCTCTCATCGGCAAGTTTGGTGCTCACATTCATGGCTAGAGGGGAAGAAACCTAACGTGGGCTGGCTGGGTCGATCTGACAAAGCCGGTTCTCATTGCTACTACTCGGTGGTCATCCTGCATCCCATATGGGCACTCAAAGATGGAAAAGTTGGCCAGGAATTTTAATTGACATGTTGATGATAGTGAAAACGCCAGTGGTGGGTGTTCCTTGGTGAACTAGAAGATGGTGTGTACCCCTAAAATCTTGGGTGGTCTTGGGGTGGTTGATCTGGAGCGCTTCGACCAGGCGTTGCATTTGAGGTAGCCTTGGAGTCCGGGCTAAAGTTGCCTAATGGCTCGATATTTTGTCACTTTTATAAGAGGGTTTTGGTGTGGTTTTCGAAGGGTTTTCGATATTTCTGGGTCTTTTTAACGCTAATTGATAACCCACAAGTATAGGGGATCAATTGTAGCCTCTTTCGATAAGTAATAGTGTCGAACCCAATGAGGAGCTAAAGGTAGAACAAATATTCCCTCAAGTTCTATCAACCATCGATACAACTCTATGCACGTTTGACGTTTGCTTTACCGAAAACAAGTATGAAACTATTTTGCAAGGATAAAACTATGAGTACTTTGCGAGAATAAAAATACGGATAAATTGCAAGGTAATAAAAGTGGAAAGCTTTTGTCAATAAGAAAGTTATTTGTCCCTAGGCAATCGATAACTAGAATGGTAATCATTATTGCAATTTTATTTGAGGGAGAGGCATAAGCTAACATACTTTCTCTTCTTGGATCATATGCACTTATGATTGAAACTCTAACAAGCATCCGCAACTATTAAAGATCATTAAGGTAAAACCCAACCATAGCATTATAAGGCATCAAGTCCTCTTTACTCCCATACACAATTACTCGGGTCTGTGCTTCTGTCACTCACGCCACCCACCATAAGCAAATCATGAACATATTGCAAACCCTACAACTGGGATCCCTCACGCTTGCGCGGCACGGAGAGCACCATAGGACAACACCAGTAATAAAACATGCAACTGAAACCAATCACGATCATCAATTAACCCATAGGACAAAACAGATCTACTCAAACATCATAGGATAGCCATACATCATTGGGAAATAATATATAGCGTTGAGTGTCGGAGTCAAAACCGGCAGATCTCGGGTAGGGGGTCCCAAACTATGCGTCTAAGGTCGATGGTAACAGGAGACAAGGGACACGATGTTTACCCAGGTTTGGGCCCTCTCTATGGAGATAATACCCTACTTCCTGCTTGATTGATCTTGATGAATATGAGTATTACAAGAGTTGATCTATGATGTCTACTACATAACCTTCTTCTTGTAGGCGTTGTTGGGCCTCCAAGTGCAGAGGTTTGTAGGACAGTAGTAAATTTCCCTCAAGTGGATGACCTAAGGTTTATCAATCCGTGGGAGGCGTAGGATGAAGATGATCTCTCTCAAGCAACCCTGCAACCAAATAACAACGAGTCTCTTGTGTCCCCAACGCACCCAATACAATTGTAAATTGTATATGTGCACTAGTTCGGCGAACAGATGGTGATACAAGTGCAATATGGATAGTAGATAATGGTTTTTGTAATATGAAAATATAAAAACAGCAAGGTAACTAATGATAAAAGTGAGCACAAACGGTATTGCAACACGTTGAAACAAGGCCTAGGGTTCATACTTTCACTAGTGCAAGTTCTCAAAACAATAATAACATAATTGGATCATATAACTATCCCTCAACATGCAACAAAGAGTCACTCCAAAGTCACTAATAGCGGAGGACAAACGAAGAGATTATGGTAGGGTACGAAACCACCTCAAAGTTATCCTTTCTGATCGATCTATTCAAGAGTCCATAGTAAAATAACATGAAGCTATTCTTTCCGTTCAATCTATCATAGAGTTCGTACTAGAATAACACCTTAAGACACAAATCAACCAAAACCCTAATGTCACCTAGATACTCCAATGTCACCTCAAGTATCCGTGGGTATGATTATACAATATGCATCATACAATCTCAAATTCATCTATTCAACCAACACAAAGAACTTCAAAGAGTGCCCCAAAGTTTCTACCGGAGAGTCAAGACGAAAACGTGTGCCAACCCCTATGCATAAGTTCACGAGGTCACGGGACTCGCAAGTTGGTCACCAAAACATACATCAAGTGGATCACAAATCCTTAAAGACTCAATCCGATAAGAGAACTTCAAAGGAAAAACTCAATTCATCACAAGAGAGTAGAGGGGGAGAAACATCATAAGATCCAACTATAATAGCAAAGCTCGCGATACATCAAGATCGTATCACCTCAAGAACACGAGAGAGAGAGAGATCAAACACATATCTACTGGTACATACCCTCAGCCCCGAGGGAGAACTACTCCCTCCTCGTCATGGAGAGCGCCGAGATGATGAAGATGGCCACCGGAGAGGGATCCCCCCCTCCGGCAGGGTGCCGGAACGGGTCTAGATTGGTTTTCGGTGGCTACGGAGGCTTCTGGCGGCTGAACTCCCGAAAAAAGTCGGTCAGGGGAGCCACGAGGGTGGGGGGCGCGCCTCCCTGCCTCGTGGCCAGCTCAAAAATTCCCTGACGTATACTCCAAGTCTCCTGGATTGCTTCCGTTCCAAAAATAACTCTCCCGAAGGTTTCATTTCATTTGGACTCTGTTTGATATTCCTTTTTTCAAAACACTGAAATAGGCAAGAAAACAACAATTTGGGCTGGGCCTCCGGTTAATAGGTTAGTCCCAAAAATAATATAAAAGTGTATAATAAAGCCCATAAACATCCAAAACAGATAATATAATAGCGTGGAACAATCAAAAATTATAGATACGTTGGAGACGTATCAACATCCCCAAGCATAATTCCTACTCGTCCTTGAGTAGGTAAATGATAAAAACAAAATTTTTGATGTGGAATGCTACCTAACATATTTATCAATGTAATCTTCTCTATTGTGGCAAGAATATTTAGATCCATAAGATTCAAGACAAAAGTTTAATATTGACATAAAAATAATAATACTTCAAGCATACTAACAAAGTAATCATGTCTTCTCAAAATAACATGGCCAAAGAAATCTATCCCTACAAAATCATATAGTCTGGCTATGCTCTATCTTCATCACACAAAATATTTAGATCATGCACAACCCCAATGACAAGCCAAGCAATTGTTTCATACTTTTGATGTTCTGAAACCTTTTCAATCTTCACGCAATATATGAGCGTGAGCCATGGGTATAGCACTATGGTGGAATAGAATGGTGGTTGTGGAGAAGAAAAAAAAGGAGAAGATAGTCTCACATCAACTAGGCGTATCAACGGGCTATGGATATGCCCATCAATAGATATCAATGTGAATGAGTAGGGATTTCCATGCAACGAAGGCACTAGAGCTATAAGTGTATGAAAGCTCAACAAAAGAAACTAAGTGGGTGTGCATCCAACTTGCTTGCTCACGAAGACCTAGGGCAATTTGAGGAAGCCCATCATTGGAATATACAAGCCAAGTTCTATAATGAAAGATTCCCACTAGTATATGAAAGTGACAACATAGGAGACTCTTTATCATGAAGATCATGGTGCTACTTTGAAGCACAAGTGTGGTAAAAGGATAGTAGCATTGCCCCTTCTCTCTTTCTCTCTCATTTTTTTTGTCTTTTTGGGCCTTCTCTTTTTTTAGGGCCTCTTTTTTCTCTCTTTTTTTATTTTTTTTATTTTTTTTGTCCGGAGTCTCATCCCGACTTGTGGGGGAATCGTAGTCTTCATCATCCTTTCCTCACTGGGACAATGCTCTAATAATGATGATCATAACACTTTTATTTACTTACAATTGAAGAATTACAACTCGATACTTAGAACAAAATATGACTCTATGTGAATGCCTCCGGCAGTGTACCGGGATGAGCGATGAATCAAGAGTGACATGTATGAAAGAATTATGAACGGTGGCTTTGCCACAAATATGATGTCAACTACAT